AATAAGGTTTAACTTATTTAACTTATAGTTTCGAGAGTTTTTTTTTTATATTTTAATTAACAAAATTCAACTTATTCCATAAGACATTTATACAAAATTTATATTTTGATCAAAAATTTGAAATATAGTTTTATTCTTTAGCATTTTATAAATAATTCATGAAAGTTTCAAGGTAATTCGATTTCTTGTTAATAAGTTGAATCGCTTTGAAATTTTAATTATTAATATTAAGATAATCATAATAATAATGACAGACAAAATTAAGTACGGTAATTACAGTATTAAATATACAATCCGAATTTGTATTGCCGTTTGTGTAACATAAAAATCTGTGATATGAAAAATGCTATAGCTATCTAACATAGTTTTGATTTCTTAGTTGATGTTCCACCCTAATCTTTTACGGTAATATCAGGCTTAATCTGAGCAGAATCAGCATGAGACGAATCTAAATAAACAAATAATATTTTAAATAAATCCATAGTATTTATTTAATACATTAGTTAAAATAAATACCTTCTTCAATCGCCTTTGAAACTAATTTTGTGCTAATAAGTTTACTAGTGTACATTTCATCATGATGCTTTGGTATTGGCAATGGTTTAATATTCTTATCTGCATTTAAGAACTCTATTTTGATTTCGTCTTCATCATCTGAATCAATCTTCTCAAGCCATTCTTTTATTATATAAAAAACATTCAAAGCACTAGGCCTATTTTGCGGATCAGAATTCATGCATTTCTCAGCGAGCTCGATGTAGCATTTAGGAGTTCCAGATGCAAACTCTGGTCGCGATCCTTTGCAAATCTTGACTGCAAGTTTTATATCGAATTTATGACCATCAAAAGCTCTTTGTCCAGTTGACATTTCTGCCATAATAATGCCAAGCCCATAAATATCTGCTGCTTGTGTAAACTGCTGGTTGCCTGATAAAACTTCAGGTGCAACATAGGGCATAACTCCATAAATATCTCCTGAAACACATTCATCTTTTTTTCTAGACAATCCAAGATCTGCGATATATGATCGTTGGTCTCGCAAAATATTGCCACTATGAAAATCGGCATGAATATATCCTGCACATCTGTGAATATTATCTAACTCATCTGAAATGTTTTTAAGTATTTGCAATTTAGTTTGCCATGTAAGCTCACTAAATTTTTTTCTTAAATATTTATAAAGATTCCCATAGTTAGCATACTGAAATACCATCAAGTATTCCTTTGTATCTGTATTTTGAGTTATTCCATATATTGCGAGCTTAGTATAATTTAATTTACATGCCATAAGACTTTTAAACTTAGGTTTAAACAGTTTAAACAATGAATTAGTTCAATAAATTATGTAGATAAGTTATAAAGCGATAAATTAACTTACTTCCTTTAAAAAATTCGAACTGGCCTCCTTTTCCTTAGAATCAGACAATGTCTTGAGTGCAACGATGCTATTTGGTTCACGTGTTCTTTTGTAGATACCGTCATTAATTTCTTCAACTTTTCATATGCCATCCAACCAGGTTGCTGAATATACAGAGCCAAATCCTCCTTCCCCAATTTTTTTAATATTATCTAGTCTATCGAATGGAATCCAATCAATTACATCTTTATATTTAAAGGTTCTAAGTTGAAAATCTCTGAAGCAATCATCAATATTTTCATTTATACTTATCCATCTTTGAACTGTTATGTCTGGATCACATGATAGACACCATGCTTCAGACGTGTTATCATTATTACAATGTGCACATTTACCGTATTCGGATTTCCTTTTAGAATAAAAATATCGTAGTTTATTTCTCATCTGACTATGCGATTTCAAACTTAATAGAATGTAAAAAATTTTGTACTCACCGACTAAATTAATGAGAACGAAATAAATTTAAACGTAATGGTAAATAAGTATTTATTTTCTTGATTTGTGAACTTATACTCACTCACTGAATAAAATGATTAATGCGAATGAAATGAATTTAAACGTAATGGTAAATAAGTATTTATGTTCTTGATTTGTGAACTTGTTTTTAATTCCATTGATTAATAAATGTTCTTTATACCTGTTATGTGTCATTTCGCAATTCATGTTACTTTCAAAATGACATGTTAATTTAAAATTGCAATTTAACATATGTCTAATAATAATCGGTATCGGTATAAAAATATATACGTTTGAAAAATATTTAAAATTAAAAAAAGTACAATAAAAAATAATTAAAAAAAATTAATTACGCATTAATATGTTTCATGAAAATATCCTTTTTCAATTAATACAGCTTTTTCTAATAGTCGAAAACATATACAGTATGTATTATGCATTAAACACTGCATACTACAATTAATGATTGCTGCATTCACCTCTCAATACACAACCACAGCGTCTAGTGCAAAGTGAGTTGTTTTTGCAGTATGAGCAGCTTTTAGTTTTACAGTTTGTTTTACTGCAATGTCAATTGTCATTTTTTTTAGATCTCTTTAAATTATCTTGAGTATCTTGTATACTTCGTATAGGGCGTGTCAAATTTTGCTGTGCAGATGCATTTCTTAGAGAGATAAAATTGCCTAGTGGAATAACATCAAGTGCTGGATATTCATCTGTGCCTAGTAATTCTAATTCATTTGTTAGATACCATGAATCTAAGATTTCAAATTCACATCCAACTTGATAGAGATCATGATTAGGTTTTTTTTGAATAACTTTGCAGGGCACTGAACGTCTATCCATTTTTAACTTGTCAATATCTGGGACCCAAATTTTTACAAAATCATCTAGATTAAAAATTATACTATATTTAGTTTTATAATATTTTATATTTTTAATAATTATATATATATAATTATCTGAATTTAAAGTTAAGGTACGTTTAGTATTATACTGCTTTTTCATTACACTACGAATTATTTGCTGATTTTTTTTAACTTGTTGTACTGCTGAATTATGTAATTGCTTGTGGTTACTAACATTTGCATGAGATTAACTATTAACTGACATAAGACTTTCATGGTCCATATCTTCAATTAATGTATAAGAACTACTTGCTTGATTAGAACTTTCTTGAGATAAATTTTCAATAAAACTATTAGCAAGAAACAAATCCTTATATAATTTATCATCTTCTTGAGACAAAAATTTATCATAATTATAATCATCATTTTCTAAATCTATTGAATTGTATCGATATAATGAATACTATATAATAACAATAATAAATAAAAAAATTAGTTAAATTATTTTTTAATATATTATAATAAATAATTAAAAGCATATTTACTTCATTATTACGCCATTTTTCTTTTTTGTTCCAAGAATTTTGTGATGCAATAACTTTTTCGCCAATTATACTATTATTATATGATATAGCCATTTCATTTTCATTGCTATTAGATTCAAGGTCAGTATCGCTATCCTCAATTGTAATTATTTTATCTATTAAATATACATAGTATATAAAAATAAATAAGTTATTAAAAAATAAATAAAAAATTTATTACATATTACTAT